TTACACTATAAAATTATAGATAAAAATTAATTTTTTCAATAGTTTTGTTCATCCAGTTAAAGATCCAAGCAGAAATATTGATAGAAAAAGCACCTCTGGTAACACTGTTCCTGAAGTTATAATGGCAAGATCGGTTTTACAGATAGAAATTTCTGTCTTTATTAAACCAGCTGGATACCTGGAAAAGTTATATGAACTTTCAGACACACAACTCCTTCTTCATGTCTGATACAGAAACATCAGACTTCAAAGCTAAATCCAAGTTGAAAGCAATTGCTCAGACTTTAATTATAGAGCATTTTTCATAAAACAGTCGCCTCAGTTCCTACCTCTAGGTCCTGCTCCTCACAGCTCCTTTGCACGATGAACCTTGAGTTTAAGGATAAAGCCTTGGCTTTAGCAGAAGCATCCATTTTATTTCACATTGTAGTTTCCTTGCACATGCTTATCTCTTCATGTTTCAAAGGTTATAAACTACCCTTCTCTCTTTTTCATTACAACTTGAACGCCTTATCAATTCTTCTTCCTTCCTTACCTGTTTGCTCTACTCCACACAGGAAAACCACACATATGATACAATATACTAAAATGGGCTATCTGCCTAACTTCTGTTTTGAAGGCCTCTGTTCTGAGCATCAGAAAGAGCTTGTGTGTTTAAGAACTTGACTCATCTTTACCTTGCGGAAAAAAATATAGATGAATTCAATTATTTCTTATCATCATAGATCCTCATAGCAGGAGTTTCACCACCAATTTGGATGTTCCAAATTACCCCACAAAAATATTTCGTCACATTGCTGAAGGTAGAGGTCCTCTAATCATAGCACATCCTTCATTCTAGATGGAGATGTCTGACTATTTTTTAAAAAAATTTTTTAAACACACAAAGCTAAGGAGAAGCTCAAAAAAGGGTTGGTTTGGTTTGGGTATTTTTTTGTGACCCAGATGTTGAGATCAGCCTTTGCCCTACTGGAGCACAAATCTGTAAATTTCTAAGTCCTGTAATGTTTCTGTTTCAGCAAATTCATTGTAGCTTGATTATTTAATAATCATCCACTAGTAGATTTTTAGCAGCAAATGACAAAACTTCAGGTTGGCTACAAGTGAAATGCCATTGGTTTTATTCAAGGTATATTCCAAGACTGTAACAATTTCTAAGAAAAATAAAACTGAATATTGTTATGAAATCAGGCTAAAGATTTTGTTGCCTATCTTGGAGCCCTCTGAATATGTGCTGCTTTTGGGTTTTAATTTGTTTGGGTGGGGGAGGGTACAGTTTTGGATGTCTTTATTGTGAAAATGATAACTTCTGATTCACCTTAAATTTTCTAATTAATTTATTTTTTATTTGCTGTCCATAGCAGAGTATTTAAGAAAAATAAATGTCTATTTTGTAGATTTCTGCAAAACATCATAATTTGTGTTGTAAAACAGTTTATCTGTAACAGTATTGGAACATAAAGTCTCTGAATGCTTTTAACCCTAGCCAAACAGGGAAAAGAACTTCAACTGTTCTAATTGATGAGTAGTTTTCTAGTGGTTTCTAGAAAGGTGAGAAAACTGTTCAGTAGTGCAGTACTTATGACAGATAGCTGTCTATAAGCTTGCCTTTGAGAGGCTTAGCTCATAGGAAGTTACTGGAATATATCTGCATTGATAGCCATTTCTGTAGTCGCCTTATCGATGTCAGTCCTCACTTCCTCTTCAGATATCTAATGCTGGTGAATAAAAGAATTAGAATCTGCATCGAAAAGTGTATTTCAAGTAGTGTTTTATAGCACTATAAGTAATCTTTCTTCCATTTTTCAGTGTTGCGCACTGTAAAGCTGAGCTGCTCTTATTCCTTTTTCTTCAGGGGAAAGAGGTTTATGCTGGAAATCTCGTGTACCCTCCCTGAGGCTTTCCTTTGCTATAGAAAAGTATTTTCCATGTGCCACCTGGTGATTCTGTTCCATAGGAAATGATGAAGTTTATCTTCGTTTATAAATGAACACAGAGATAATATTTGTGGGGTCCATAAGCTTATTAGACATTTTGGTGAACCTGAGGGCTACTTAGGCATGATACAAATTAACAAAAGACATATTAATCTCCAGGATCTTTAAGTTCAAAGTGAAAAGCTGGGCTTGAAAGAATTTTCCTTGTCTTGTACGTTGTCTATGTAGGCACAAGAAAAAAGACAATAACATTCGTATCAAGATGAAAATCCCACAGAAATAAATAATTTAAATTGTATTATGATTCTTTGTGTCAGGCATAGATTTATGGCATTTACTTGCTCCTTTGTGTTCTACTTATAATTAAAATATGTATTCTTTTTGTTAATATTCTCTGTTGAAATTAGTCTAAGATGCATGGTACTGTTTCTTCAGAAAATACCGTAGCTCATCTTTTAAACATGAACTATAATGTAATCATTAGAAGATAATGTTTGATTAAAATATGAAATCACTTCTGGGATGGAACTTTATATTTTACTGTGGCTTTGCTCTAAAGTATGAGTACTTTCAAGAATATGCCATACAGCCAAACAAGTTTTGGAGACAGAAATTCCCTCATAGGTTTGCAAACATGAACTCTAGCAAAAGAGCAGAACAAATGTCTTCAGTAGATGGTTTGGTTAATAGTAGGTGGGAAACATAAAATCATTTCTTTTGTCTGTTTTTCTGTGAAAAGGATCTATCTCATCCTGAGCTTAGGGATATGCAAATTATTAATATTAACATTAATCAGTAATAAGCATATTAAATTGTTGCAAATCTGCTTATTTCGTATTTGCTGTGTGCTCAAAAAGAGAAATAAAGGCACTGCAGTTAGAAAAATTTGAGGTAAAACTTTCCTGATATGTTGTGATCAGATAGTGGTTTTTGATGGCAGGACGCACCCTTGACTGTAGTTGCTGTAGTCTGCTATACTAGCAGATGCTGTTCATGAATGTTAACACCTTGAATGAAAGTAATTGAAGTAATGCAAAGTATAAATGTTTCTTCAACAAACAGCTTTTTAGCACATCGCAGCAGGTGAACTGTGTTGAAACTGGCTTTTTTTTTTTCTTTGTGTTAGCCCATCTCCTGAAGTATGGTACTTGTAAAAAACATTTTGGAAAAGCTAGCAGTTACTTTGAATAATGAATATTATTTGCAGGGAATCCAGCCTGCATGTAAAGATTTAATATAAAAAGCTTTCTCTTTTTCATACAAGGTGTTCTTAAACAATTGTTTCTTCTTGGGATGTACTTGATATTGGGCGAAGTTGGAAATCTTCGGCTTTTTTCTTAGATTCCATCTTTTCTATGTAAGATAAAGGTTATATTTGCATTAACAGATACTTTTTCAATTTTGCCCACTCTGTAGTTTCCCTTCAATTTTATTTTTTTTTTTTTATTTATTTTTACTCCCTAATCTCTCTTTATTTTGATACAGTATTCATCATGGCAGTACCCTATGTTCAAATTTCTGAGAATTTAAAATTTCTGCTTATTTTGGACAAACGTGAAAACATTTGTAGATTAAATTTGTAGATAGTGAGTCAGAGAGTTCTACTTTGTTCCCACGTGGTCTTCAGCTTCTTGTCTTCTCACAGACTCCCAGGCCAGAATGTCAATTTTGCCCTGGTCCAAACACAGGAGTCTACTTAAACTAGGCACATTTAGATTTCCTCTCTAGAGAGGAGATAGATGATAGCACTCAAGGTGTTTAGTAACACTAAATTATGTTCTGATTCATTTATCATGTACCTTTTCTGATAATTTGAATAATATCTTCAAGGGCTAAGAACTTTCAGGTATCCACTTTCTGTACTGATTCCAGAGCTCCTAGAATTGTTTGCATTGTTTGCAATTTTGCATTATTAGTGAATGGAAAGGAGAAATTACATTTCAGGGGTGTGTTTGCATGATGGTGCTCTCAGTGCTTATTCCTGGAACAATGCAGTCTGCATGCTCTTCCTTCCTTAGACTTTAAGTCATCTGACCTATAGCTAGCTGTACTTGGCTGGCACAAGACACAGTAACACCGTTATAAAACTAAGGTTTACATTGTAGCTTTGCCCTAAAATTAAAAAAATAAAAACTAGCATTCTTGTGTATCAGGAGTTATCATTTCAAAAGTTCATAAGTCAGCTGTGAAAGGGAATCATAGTAATTTGGTGTAATTACTGGTCAAGATCAGATCTGAAATGCATAAAGATCTCATCTACTGTGTGATGAAATGTGTCTACTTTGCATGAAGCAGAAGATTCTGTATATCTTCAGTTTGATAATTATACACAATGAGACATTGAACAAGGTAGGAACTTAAGGATATTTGTAGATACAACTTAAATACAGTTCTTAACAGTACCAAAAAGTAATTATAACTATTATTGGCTCTATTGCATGCAAGTGTGTATGTACTGTCTTAGAGATAATTATTAAATCTTTGTGAAAAATTACAGTGAAGGGTTGAACTAATGCATATTCCGGTGATGCTATAAAAATACAGCCTGAAAGAATATTTGTTATTTTATCTTTAAAGTAATTCGACTTGAAACGCCTTATTTTGCACCGGATTGCTTCTTTTTCATATTCACATACGCATTACTTCTAGTATGATGTAATTAAAATATTTAAAATGTATTCATTTAAAGCACAAGTGTTTTTTTGTCATTTCTAAAACCCTGTTTCATTGTTGTAATTAAAACGGAAAATGGTGATAGTTAAAACAATTGACTTCAAAGAAGACTATTTATATCTTAATATTTTACATGTTGTTTTCATTGTTTATATGAAGCAAGTTGTATGTGGATACTTCTGTTAACTTTACTTCAGTAGATTATACACCATTGTTTATGTTTTGACATAGGCAAACACACAGGAGGTTGTTGCTCATCTCACTTTATGGTAAATGCACACTGGACCGAAATGACACTCAAAGCTAATCATCTGTGAAGCCGTAAAGGCCCAGCCTAAAAAGAGCTGTTGACTCTGAAAATGTTGTAATTGACTTCTATTTTATTTCCAGATTGCCTTCTCACAGCACAATACGATCATGGATCTGGTGCAGTTCTTTGTCACCTTCTTCAGGTAAATTGCTTTTTCTGTCTTCTGACTAAAATTATGCTGATTCTTTTCCATTAAAGTAATAACTTAACCAGCTTCTTAAGAAATCCCTGCAAGGAAGCCTTTAAGCTGTGTTCTCCAATTTACACCAGGAGAAGATCCAGGCCATTGCACTATAACTACAGGCAGCTGCTGGCATATTTCACATATTCAGTGGTACAGTCTTCACACTTCATAAAGATTAGCTAGACATGTACTGTATGTTAGAGTGATTAAGAGAAGCCAGCTATACTGGCTTAAACTAGTAATTTATGTGTGTGCATTTTTTGTAAACTCTATTTAATGAATTATTAAAAAGGATGATTTTGTTCAATAGCTTGTTACTTTTAAGAAAGCACCACAAATCACTCCTAATGCTTTCATGAGTTAGAGATTAATTGTGAAGGGCAGTAGGTGATGCATGAGATTTAGTTGTGGCAGCAATTGCCTTCACCTGCAAATGGACAACTATTCTAGGATATGAAGAAAACTCCACTGAAAGACTTCTTAAAAGTTCAGCTCTCTTATAAAATGTCACAAACTTGAATATACATGGATTAGTTACGGTGCTTTGAAAACCCGTATTGCTGTGAAGATATTCCCCCATAACCATGAAGTGTATGCAAAATGTGGGCAGTGACAGGCAAGTATTCTCTTCAACTTTCTGTATTTCTGTCACTGCCATGCATTTATTTCACAAGTTCACAGTACAGCTTGTCCATCAGCTTTTAATCACTGTGTTCTGAGGAACTGTACTTGAAGAATCAAAGTCGTAAATGCTGTGAACAGGCCAACTTCTGTTAATTCCTGTTACCTAAATGGGGCCAGAAATGATCAGACCATGAAATCTTCTGTACTCAGTTGCATTGACTAATGGAGAGTGCTTTAGTTGCTGATGCAAAGCATCCCATTTCTCCTCGTTCTCCACAAACACAGCAATAAAATGCTGGTTGCCTAAAGGTCAGCCCAGTAATGTTTTGGTGATTGATTGTCGTTGTTTTGATTTGTTTTCTGGGAAGACAGAAAGATCTGAAGAATTATTATGCTCATAGTTGGAGCCTTAAGATGGCAAGGAAGCAAAGTCTGTCCAAGTAGAATAGAACAGAAGGACTCTGTGACAAATAGCAGAGGTAGACTAGAGGCAATTTGTTTCTGCTCTGTGCTTTAAAACAGGCTTACAGAAGGTGAAGTACAGGCTCTTTGATGGTGAAGCCATGTCTATGGCTGTATTGCATTAGCTCTCCTGGTGTGATGGCCTATCTGATGTGGTTTGTTCTGGGCAAATGCAAATTCACTGTGACCCTGCCATGGCCAGGGACACCTGCCACTAGACCAGGTTGTGCAAGACTCCATCCCAAGGAAAGTATCAATGCATCCTGTCTAAAGTAGATGTTATTGTTCAAGGCTTTATCTGAAAATTTGGTTTCAACAGTTTCTAGCCTAAGAAAATTATTTTGAATAAGCAGAATATTACAGAAACTGTAGTGCTCCAGACCATGTTACTCATAGTGATAAAAACCAAGAACCCCCATTTAATTTCTTTCTTTCTCTAAGACTAGAAATGTGATCAGAAGTGCAGTAGTATCAGATTCCTAACAGTCTTATAGAAACTGTGGCATCCGTGTTGCTTTATTCAATACTTTTTAGCTCATGCCTTGAAGACTTTTAGCCTTCACAAAAATTGAGAAGTGTGGGACTTTTTTTTTTTCCCACATGCTTTGAAGCACAGTACAGATCTCATTAGAAAATTTCACAGGCAGCAAATGTTAATGATCTTTCTTCTTATACTGAAGAAATGTAGTGGCCACAGTTAAAGAAAGTCTATTGCTGTATAATCTTGACCAATAAAACACACAATAAGCTAAAGCCTGTCTTTTTTTCTAAACTATAAGTGATAAAGGAGTTTGCAGTGTTTTCAGACCTTACGTGAACATACTGTTTTAGTCAAGTAAGTAGCCAGGACATTTTATGCATTTCATAATGGGATATGAAGTATCTTTAGTTTCTGAAAACATTATTCTCTTTTTCTTTAGATCATATTCTACCATGCATAAAATTTGACAGTGTTCAATATTTATTAATTTTTATTATATATGATTTGAGTAAATCACAGAATTGAAAGCCAAGAAACCATTTCTAAACCTGCTTTGAAATAAAATTGTAGTTAAAAATTTATAACAGTGCTCATGCGTTTCTCAGAAAAACTATTTGTTTCAAGAATCAGAAGCAGGAGTTCTAGTAAGAAATGTAGTTTTGTCTCAGTCATAAACAAGGCAAACAGGAAATCGATACAGGTGACAAAGGTCAGCTAGTAGTATTTTTGTGAGAGGTAATGATATGTAACTTCTACTGTTATAACTATTTTTTTAAAGCCCGTTTGAAATCCATAATACCAAGCACTAACTAACCAGGCACTTTGGGTGTGCTTCTTTATGCTCCCAGAACAATTCCTTTCATTGACTCTGGTTCAGCTTTTGGGGTAAAGCTGCCAGCTGGTGGATTTTATGACTGACTGGAATGATGCACTTCAGACACTTTTATAACATCTCTCCATACTATTATGAATTACAGAATTTCCCATTTGTAGTAAGTATAGTGATATTAAGAAATATGGATACTTTAGAAGTTTGGTAATCCTTTTTTGTGTGTGTGCTCTAAGATATTCTATGAAAAATCATCATCAGTTAGAACCAGGGGTACATTCTTTCAAATGTCAAATCTTTCTGCAGGCTCTCTGAGTGAGAGAAAACAATATTCAATATACCCAATGTTTATTGCAGGAGAAAGGGATGGACATTTAGGTTAAGAGGCACACTAGTAGCATGTGCTACAATAGGAATTGCAGCAGGTACTGAAGGACCAGATTTATCACCTCCATATGTATGACTGTGTGCCAAAATCTCAGAACAGTCACTTCAGTTGCTTTTTGTGCAGTGGGAGTGGATGGCTGCATTTCAGCCAGTTGTATCTGAGCTCCCAAGAGCTTCGTTATCTGAATCTGCCATTCTGGGTGTAAATTTGCAACAAATGAATTCCTTCTCTTTACCAGCATCCTTTGATGTGTCTGCCTGGCTTCATGTTGTGTTTTTGTTAAAATAAAGGTTGATAAATTAATGCTAAGTTTTGCCATGCTTAGCTTTATGAGATAAAATATTGAGGCTTTTTGTTGTATTTTTGTTAAAACAAAGGTTGATAAATTAATGCTAAGTTTTGGCGTGCTTAGCTTTATGAGATCAAATATTGATCTCTGTAACACACGGTGTCAGGATCAGATCACGTCCACCATGGCTCAGTTCTCAGAAAGTGCAGAAGTCTTATAAATGTAAATTAGAATATTTTCTGGTAACATGGAAATCAAGTTATCTTAGCAAAATGGATTTTACATTTGGGGCTAGAATAAAATTGATTTTTACTTAGTGATGCATTAAACAGTTTTCACCACACTTAGAAGCAAACAGTTGTCTGACTTCCACTTGGACAAGCATATCTACACCATGGTAGGCACTCTGATTTATTTTTGTGTTAGCTTATTTTTTGTTGCTGTTGTTTGGTTGGTTTGGTTCGTTGTTTTTTTCTTTCTTTCTTTCTTTTTTTTTTTTTATAAATGTTTATTTTGAATTGTGGAATGTAATTTTGTGTCTTCCACTCTCTGAATCACCCAGAAACATTGTCATTGCTATAGAGTTATATAAGATATTCATATTTCCTGAGAAGGCAGCCACTTGTTATTGGCCTGGAGGCAAACGAGATTCCCCAGTACCACTGGATCCGTCGCTCTTCAGAACAACGAATGAGTCATTTAATCCCTTGGTGAACAGAACTGCTTTCCATTACTTCCTTCTTGTTTTTCTTCTTCTGTGTTCATCCTTTGAGTCACTTGGAAGTGCATATGAGTGAGCTAGTGCTTGCTGTATTTTGATTTCAACATATACTGTTCCTCAAAGTACAAAACAGTTGCACAGCTTGATATCTGTAGATGGCCTAAGTATTTTTTTTATATATAGCAGATATGGGCAGCCAAATAAATGCAGACCCTTACACCTTCCTTCAAGAAGGTGCATTTAAAAGTTTGAACTTCCCACTTCTTGAATGTATCAAATACAGTGAGAGCTGTTTGTTGTGCCTGGTGAAGTTCTGCATCACAGTTTCTGCTGAGTTCACAATAACTGGAAATAAGAGAGGAGTTGTAGGGTGAAGGTTTGGGTGACAGATTGGGTTGGGGATTTGAAAGATTTATTTTCTTTTTTCCCCCCACTCCTTTTTTAGAGAAAAAGAAAAAAAGGAAATCTTAAATTGCACTCTTCATTGTGTATGGTGCTTTAGTATAGTAGTCCAAAAAACATATTGTCACTGCTTGTGCTTTTATAAAATCTCATTGAAATCTGAGCTGTCACCACAGAGGTTTCAGAAAGTGGCACCATAAATATACTTGCCAAGACTCCTGAAAAAAATGTCTTTTTTTGAAGACTGTGTTTTGTAGACTCCCTGATTCTGAGACAGTTCTGTGATGTTCTCCTTCCAGATATGCATCGTTCTACAACTGCATTGTATTTTGTTTCCTAAGAAGCATCATAGACAATTGATATTTTGTTGGTGTTTTGATTCCCCACATCCTATATTGTATTTTCTTCTATCTGATTCTTTGACTACAACAATGTTGGTGCTCCCAGCTATTTTTCTTCTAGAGTGCTTAATCCTAGTCACTATGAAAAGAAATTCCAATCCACTGTACATTAAACAAAAGAACTAGAAAAACTTTCATCTGTGATAAATGGACTTGAAATTTTGCTTTTGTCATTTTAATTCAAAAGAGAAGCAATTCTGTCTTCTTACAACAAGGTATATAAACCAGTTGCAAAGTTAATTTCAGAAGTTTCTTTCCATATATAGCAAAGTGGGAGGAAAGCTGCTGAAGAAAATAACAAAAAATAAAGGAAGTAAAAAATATTAGGGTTTTACTTTAGGCAGTAATGTCATTGTCTGTT